TCTTCACCTTCCATCAGCCCTTGGTACAGTGATACCGAAATGGAGAATACAGACTCTTCGTGGTCGGGGCCCACCATGCTCTGTTTTCGACACGAGGAGTTCCCTGCCTTCAAGCGGGGGGCGCTGCGTGCAATGCAGACTCTGCACGCACGCTTCCGACTCAACAAAGGACAGGTGCCCATTGATGAAGCTCTCGACTTGATCAACACCTTTCCTACACCAGGTACTATGTATGACATCTGGCATAAGCAGCAACTACATACGTTAGTCAAGGATGCTCGTGCATGGTTCAGCCGCCGCTGCACGGCAGCTGCCCAGGCAGCTAGTGCGGAGGGAGAGAACGTGTCAGCGGCAGTGCACAATGCTATCGAGCCAGCATTGGATGGTGAGAGCCTTCTCGAGTATTATCTCGAAAAATTAGACGAATCTTTTGCTCATCAGCGTAAGACAGCCAAGGTTCTGGAGTACTTGCGGACTAGGCAGGATAACGGCTCACCACAGCTGTACCTGCAGCAAATACGGGAGCTCAAGCCGTACATTCGAGACTCATACTCCAGTGCGGTTATCGCGGAGCGCTACGTTGAAGGCCTAGATCCAGCAGTAAGGGAGCGCGTCAGAACCAAGTACGAGCTCACCCCACGTGAGGGATGGTATGCTCAACTCAACAGCATTGCAACGGACGCTGAAACAATCTGGATCAACCTGCAGCAAGCCCAGGCCGAGCGGGAACGACATTCCAGCAGCGACCACGCCTCCGGGTCCAAGCAAGCTATCACGAGTGAGAAGGAGAAACAGCTGCGCAAGCAGCCAAGCAAAAGCAGAGACAGCGGCTCCGGCCAGTCTAAGTTCTATTGCAAGCACCACGGCGCCAACAGCTCCCACGACAGCAAGGATTGCCAGGTTCTAAACGGTCGCCCAACAGGAAGTGGCAAGAGTGCCGCAGCTACGGGTTCCCATCAACCTGATGAATTGGCGGCAATGATCACCGCAGCAGTACAGTCTGCATTAGGTGCGAGTCGTGCTGCTATGGTTTCTACATCCGAGCAGCAGGCCCCAGCCACAAAGTATGCTGCCGATCAGCAACGGCGGCAGAACCGAGGTGGCGGAGGCAATGTCAACAATGGAGGTGCCTCCAATAGGCGTCCCCGCATGTATGATGGTCCACCCTGCGAGTATTGTGGGCGGTATGGCCATGATGAGCCAAACTGCCGGGTGCTCCACCCACAATTGGCGCCACCCGGCTGGGAGCCGCCTCTTAAGGCGCTCCAGGTGCTGTTCCAAGCTAACAAAGAGCAGGCACAGCAGAATCGTGAGCGTGGCGCCACACCATGCCAGCACCGAGCAGTGGCTGTCGGTGCTGTGCACCATGATGAGGAGGACACCGAGGATGATGAGGAGGTGTACGTGCCGCACCGGCGCAACGCCAACGCGTCCTTCAACCGCAGCACCCAGCCTCCGGGCACAGCCTCTGAGACAATCAATGAGGTGGCGGCATCCGTGCACGCCACTCTCACTCATCAAGCTACTCCGGTGTCCTTCCAACCCATGGAAATCAACAATAATGTCTACCCACCACCTAAGGTGTCTTCAAAGCCGCGCCCTGCCGCTGCAACACTTCAAGGGTCAACAGCAACAGCAGCATACCAACCCAGTGAGCTGGTGCTCCGTTTGAGCATAGACGGGCCTGTGTTAAAAAGGGTTATTGCGGCAATTAGTGAGGTCGATGAAGCGA